GGGGGGGGGGGGGGGGGGGGGGGGGGGGGGGGGGGGGGGGGACCGGAGAAATTACAATTGGATGTATTTATTGGTGATATTCGTCTAGTGGATTATGTAACATTTAAAATTAATGGTAGTTATCTTCGCATAAATGGATATATCACATAGTGATTATATAGTCATAGAATGATAGAAATATATATTTAATCCTTTTTGATGAGTGCTCAGTAATATTAGTCTTCAGGTCATTTTGGGTTCTAGATATTTCTAATACATACACGGCGAAGTAATTTGAGAGCAAAACTGAAATGGTTCTAACCTGTCATTCGACATTTTTATCTAACATCACTATACTCTCCCACATTCACTACTTATATACACCAGTTTTATCCAGTTTACCTCCGCTTGTCATGGAGGTCCCATTAGCCCAACTGGCAGAGTCAGGCTAGAAATGAGCATATTACCTATGCCATTGTGTCTTTTCATTCTTTTGAAAATCCCTGTCTTTTCCATGTCATCATTTACGATCTAGTGATCAGAGTGTGCCATTGTCTTTTCATTGTTTCGAAGTTCCCTCTGTATTGTCTTTTCATTGTTTTGCAAATCCCACTGTTTTCTTTGTCATCCATTCACGATCTTGTCAGGACTCTGGATCCAGTGATCAGAATGTTTCATTGTCTTTTCATTGTTTTGAAAATGCCACTGAGAACCATGCCATCCAGTCATGATCCAGTGATCAGAATGTTCTATTGTTTTTTCTTTGTTTTGACAATGTTCCATTGTCTTTTTATTCTATTGAAAATCTCACTGTTCTCCATTCCACCCTGTCAGTCATAATGACATATTTGTAACATCATTGAAAGGCCTGCTTGAATATGTTTTAATTTCAAGCCCAGTGCATGGGAGGCTCACGAATTTTTGCAAACCTTAACAAGCAAAACAAATAAGTCACTACCATGCTGAAAACGAAACAATACAACATTTTTTCACCATGAAATATAAAAACGTTCATTTATAATTATACACCATAATTATTAGTTCCAATTTTTTCTATACAATAATAATAATTATTACACTCCGAATTAGTTATAACACAATGTCAAGATATGATGGTAAACTTCAAAGCTACAAAATAGAAGACCTTTGACTGATGTTGAATGCACAATCTTGGCCTGTTCAGTAAATTATATATTAACTACAACGTTCAAATACATCTTAACGCTTTTGTCGTCACATATTTAATTTAGGCTCGCGTTAAAATTTTTAATTTAATTCGGTTTTTATGAAAAAGATTCAAATAGAATTTCTTAGCGTAATGCAGTTCATAGCATTTTAGTTTAAACAGCATAAATTCTGCCGATTGGCCAAGCCTTATACACAACTCACAACTTCAGATAACTCGCATGACTAGCTGCTATTGTTCCAGTTTACAAAAACATAGAATAAAATGAATGTTAAGTAACTATACGTTATAAGCGCGGATCAAGCGAGGATGAGAATAAGGCCGGATTTTGGTTGAAATAGTAAGGGAGGTGCTGTAACGGTTCTAGCTCACCGACCCCCATGGAAAGTTGGGGCTTAGAATGGGCCAAACGTATGCATGTAGTGTACATATGTATCAGTGTATTAATGAATTATGTCTGTACAACTCATCCAATTTTGCCCTTCATTACAATTACTACAACGTTTCTTCCATTGCATCAAAAGGGTCAAACATTGCATCAAAAGGGTACTTGATACAGAGATGAATGGCTATCATCGTTTCAATTTTAAAGAAAAAACTTTCTTACGTAGTGTAGATCCTAAGCAACCAAAAATGTCAAATTTTCACTTTGATCTATCATTGAAACTTTCCCAAGGAGAGGGGCATGACTTTTCAGGGGAGATGCAAAATTTCTCAGGGGAGGTGCAAAACGACCTCGGGGGAGATGTGCACCTCCCCCTCAAAATCCGGCATTGGCAGTTAAAATGCTTTCTCAACATCATTTTACATAAGTTAAAACGTAGTCAAACCTTTATTTTGTTCATCTAGAGCTTGAAATGTCCCCTGTGACAATGCATGACTCCAAACTCTCATGCTCGTCTGACCTGGGGCTTTACAATAGACCTTATCCATAATGACGTCACAAGGCTTGATGCTCGCGAGGAATGCTGGTCTTAAGGCCTGATTCCACGAGGCGGAATTTTTCGACCGAAACGAAATTTCTCTTTGTCTTTTTACAATTAGTTCTGCTCGAGAGCTCTGAAACAAAGAGAAATTTCGATTCGGTCGAAAAATTTCGCCTAGTGGAAAACCGCCTTTAGTAGTCATCGCCCGGGAAAATTTCGATAGTGGCCATTTTGAATTGTTTAATTTTCTCGGGCGATAACTACCAAGACCAGCATTCCTCGCGGGCACCAAGCCTTGCGACGTCATTATGCATAAGTCTATTACATGTGAGTTACTCACTCTTGTGGATATAATTTTTTGATGCTTCGTTATATATCTTGTTTTATTCTATAGTTTCTTACTGTAAACTAGAACAAGAGTAACTATAGGCATGCGAGGTTATCCAACAGTTGTGAATTGAATTGAAACAGCTAAGTTTTGATACATCGTGCACACTTTGAAGTCCGTCTTTAATAATCTATGTCCATAACTTAGAACTTCGTATTCTGGGCAGGACCGTGTACTTCTTTGCTTTTTCCAAGTTTTATGACTTGATCAAATTGCATTCGGAAGTTCTCTGGACTGGCCCAGGAGTTGGGACGATACTGAAAGATACAAAATTTAGTGTAAGGATTTTACGAAAATGTAGTAAACTTTATCATTGTTGCATCACGTGATGACGATCCGGTGATCGGAATGTTCCATTGTCTTTTCATTGTATTGAAAATCTCATTGTTCTCCATGCCATCCAGTCATGATCCAGTGATCAGAATGTTCCATTGTCTTTTCACTGTTTTGAAAATCTCGCTGTTCTCCGTGCCATCCAGTGATCAGAATGTTCCATTGTCTTTTCATTGTTTTGAAAATCTCACTGTTCTCCATGCCAAAAAAGAAAATTTTCATGCATTACCTGTTGTTTCTGTAATCTCGACTTCTCTCGTAATTGAAGTTTAACTTGAGATCTGAAAAGTACAAAATTCTAATTGTAAACCTTGGACATTTTTTGTGATAGATATTTTTTACTTCAAAAGCAAATTAATATGTTCGTTGAAAGTCCTTGAATGTCGTTATTGAATTTGAAAGAAAAACTTCAAGGCCTTGAATAAGTAGCTACTTGAAAGTCCTTAATTTTTTCTTGCTTTTGTTCCTGGGTATTTTCTGAAATTTGCTTGACATTCAAAAACAGACATTTTGTTGAATTGATTTTGCATGTTCATATATGACAAAGCTGTTTGAAATTAATTGAAGTTGCGTTTTATACTGCTCGCTATTACGTTTGAGTCAACCTACTCGTTTTTTAAATTTCTTTTACTTAATTCTTCAAGCAGTTGGCCAGAGAATGGAGGACACTAAAACATGAAAATACCAAATATTAATTATTTATTAATTATTTCCTAAATAATTTAAAATTTTTAATCGAAAAAAACCCCAATTATTTTAAGTACTGTTTAATAAACGAGTAGGAGTGTTTTATCAGATATATAACGCGACGCGTAGCGGAGTGTTTTATATGTGATAAAACACGAACTACGAGTTTATTAAACAGCTTCAAAAACGTCTCACTTAGATCACGGCATTGGCGAAATAATTTTCCAAAATAACTTTGTATTAGCTGAGAAAATACAAGTTGAAATTTGAAGCGTGTTTTATCACATATAAAGACACACCACGCTTATGATTTCTCTTTGTGTTTTCCTCATGAATTATTAATGAGTTTTTTTGAAGCATTCATACAGTACTATACGTACATTTTTCGCTTGAACATCGTCGAATGAAATGGATTTATTAAATGGATGATTTTTGTACGTATCCAGTGAACATAACCTTTGCTTTGGATCTCTTTCTAGTAACTAAAATACAAGATTGGAATATTAAATATAACATTATCAATGATAAAACCGCAACCGAACAACCATACTGAAGTGCACTATACTAGTATACTGTATTGTAGTGTACTGTATGTACTATAAATTTTACAACATGGGCGGCCGTGTTGTATATCCGATACAACACGGACGCGAATATTGTAAGTGGCTTGTGAAATTTCTTGAATGACACTATGAGAGCATCTATATTCTTCAACAATTTAAAATAAATTAATAATATTTGGTGAGATTGAACTTAAAGTTTATGCAAATCAGGATTTGTTCGCACTGCTTGTTCCCAGTTGTTGTGACAAGTCTGAAACAAGTTGTTATCACCTTGTTATAAAGATTGATGGCGCTAACAGACTTTGTTACAAGTTGTTCCAACAAGACTTAACACAGGCTGTTCGTAACGATTCGCTACGAGCTTGTTGTCAACTTGTTAACAAGTTGTTACGTGCAGACGATATCAGGTGAGGCTAACACGAGGCAAGCAAAAAAAATTACTCTGACGACCTTGACCCAACCCTAGACCCTTCCCCCAGCAGTACGTGAGAACAACATTTTCCGCCTCTTTCGTTCCTCAGCCGGCGGAAAATAACACTTACCTTCTGTAGTATATCGCCGGCTTCTTCGGAAACCTGTTTTAATAGTTCCTGTTTTTCTTTTTGTTCAACTGGGACGGGATAAGGAAACTATAAAACAATGCAATGGATTGTACAGAAATAATTATACAGAAGTATATTGTAGTGAAAATATAATATGAAAAGTAATATGAAAATTCACCTTCGATAATAATGAAGCGCAAAGAACAGCTCCAAGAGCATACCAATCAACGGCATGACCATATTTCTCACTTTTTAACATCTCTGGAGCTATAATTGAATGTAATTGGGGAAATATCAGACACGATTTATTTGCCATTTAGATTACACTATTCTAGCCAGCTCGTTGTCAAACATTCCCAGAACTATTGGCAGTATAAGTCGCGCTATTCTAGCTAGCTAGTTCAATCGCATACGCACGTAAAAATATCACAACTTGTCAACAAGACGTGTTCGCAACAGGCTTGTAGCAAGCTTGTCAACAAGTTGTAACAATGTTGTTATTTTATCAATTTGCTACAAGATTGTCGCCCACAACTTGTAACAAGTCTGATGAGCTCAACAACTTTGTAGCAAGTTGTCAACAAGCCGTTGACAACTTGTCAACAAATCTGCTGCAGGTTTGTTACAATTGTGCGTTTTTACATGTGTACACGCATAAAATTCTCACAGCTGTCAACAAGATGTGTTCGCACTGCTTTTTCCCAGTTGTTGACAAGTCTGGAACAAGTTGTTATCGTCTTGTAACAAGTTTGATGAGGCCAACAAATTCGCAACAAGTTGTTTTAGAAATTTAAGAAATTTACCCATTCAAACTACATCCTAAGCACCCTTACCCATATATTTTAAAGTTCCTGTAACCGTTGATGTTTTTTGACCCGAGGCGAGCCATTTCGCTAAACCAAAGTCTGTTATCACTATATGACCTAAACCATGGAGTCAAAGTGTCAGTTTTGCCATTCATTGCAAGAATAAATTTTAACAATAAATGCAGATTGATAACTACGCTTTACCTTGCTTATTAATTAGAATATTTTCCATCTAAACAAAACAAAGGTTTATGTCAAGCGCTTTTTATTAAGTCAGATTTATACTACACAAAAGGCTAAAAGCCAAAAGCCAAAAGGCTAAAACAATTGCATGTAACCTGCTTGCAATTTGAGTTGTATAGTATAATTTCAAGCACACAACTCGCCTATGACAACCTAGACGAGTTGCGTACTTGATTTACACAGTATAACTCAAGTTGTAAACAGGTTGCATGCGACAGTTTTAGGCAAAACTTGTTTAGTCTAAATCTGCCTTTAGTGAGTGTGAAGTAATTTTTTCAACATCTTACTGTTTCTATAAATATTATGTACAGATCAATGTAATATTTACCAGAAGCAATTTTTTTAATTTAGTTACCTTTATATCCCTATATATTATACCATTTGTATGAAAGTAATCTGTAATAAAATATTTATATTTAGATGGTGAACCAGTATCTACCATTATTATTATTATTTTTTTTTTTTTTTTTTTATTAGCTTCGCCAACTAGGGCAGGGTCACCACAACAGCATATGCCAATTACTGTGGGCCCTTTTTACCTAACCCACCCTGTCAACTTTTCCCTGTGGGAGGAAACCGGAGTACCCGGGGAAAACCCACGGCGTTCGGCAGAGCGTTGACTTTACTCTTTTCACATGGGGACTGGGTTCGAGTCGCACTGAGAAGGTACTTAGTGAGATTCGAACCTGCAGCCTCAGAGGTGAAAGGCAAGTGCGCTAACCACTTGGCCAACTTTTGCGCTAACCACTTGGCCAACTTGGTAACCATTATGGTCAACTTTTGAAATGACCTCATACCTCACAATTTTGTTTAGGGGTGTATTATTAGATTGGGGGGGGGGGCTCCATTGCAACATGTTTTATTAGTTACATAAGAATTTTCTAAAGAATTTCCTGTATATTCCATGTTGTTGCAGGAATGTTTTTCTTTCCCTAAATGCTTGCATGAATATTTTTAAATTCTACCTCCACGAATATTCTTTTTTTGGATGTGCTAACCCCCCAACGATCCAACCCTTATTTGCCATCGATTACAAGACCACAATACACCCTTCCAGAAAGTATGTCACTTTGGCCATAGAGCTTCATTTTTGTGTATGTGACATTAGTTAAAGCCCAATGTCTTATCACGATCAAAGGCTGTTGAGGCAGACTGACAGATGATATCAAATGAAGTGACAGAAAGAATTAGAGCAGTTTGCAGTTGTTTTTGCAAATGGGCACTGCAAATTTTGCCATCAGTTGTTGTGCTTCTTTTACCATCAGTTGTTGTGCTTCTTTTGCCAAATGAAAAGAACAAACGTGTGCTCCAGTCCGATTTCCGGTTTTGAGAATCCCAATTCACAGGCATGCGGGTTATAACAGCACCTGTTCCATTTGTGAAAACCACTTATTTACGATAATGATAAAACAAGTCATTACCTAAAGCAAGTGCTATTTCTGCACCAAGCAACCTTACAGTATTTTCATCAAATTTCTTTTTGAGCTGCCAAAATGTGTGTAGGTCACCAAAATCTACAAATTCTGAAACTATATATAAAGATAAAAAATTGTGAGGTTTTAATTAAAATGTTATAATGGCGGTATACCAATTATGTTGGTATTATTAATGGTATACCATAATCATATATGCTCTACGTAAAATCCATAATTATACTGTAGGTGAAATATGTGGGGTGTTGAAGACTAACGAGTACTAACGACTCACTAACAAACCATGCTAACGAGTCGCTATCAAGCAATGCTAACGAGCACAAGGAGGCACTCACCAACATAAAGATTGTGTTTCGTCTGCCATGAGCACTTTAACTTGGTAACAAATGGGTGTTGACTAAGCTTATTCTGATTAAAAGAAAGAAGCAAATAGTTAGTAAAAAAAGCTTAGCGAACTAATTTTAATGCTTGATCAATGCCTTTTTGTCAATCAGCCTGTTATATAATTACACATTAAACATTTTATAATGACCTGTATCATTATTTCATCTTTACATTGTTGTATACAGTCCTCTCTGACTATGTCCGACTTGTTGGAAACCTAAATGTATAAGGCCATTAATATTACTGAAAACCAACAACCATTATTTCCGGGCTGTAATTATACTTATGATTAACTAACAGTGAAAGGTTTACCTTCATAGCAAATATTTCCTGAGTATCTTTTTTCTTAACTTTTAGTATCTACATAGAAAATTATGGTTAGTGATAGCATACCACACACACCTTACCATATCACATCACACCATACCTAATGTTACTTCCATAACAATGCCACACCATACCATCACACACATTACCATTATATCAACATATACCATATAATACCATACAATACCACACCATACAATACCACACCATACAACACCATACAATACAACAACCATACATACAACACCATACATAGTGTCGTGACGCGCGTGGCGCGCGAGCGGCGAGTCAAATCGCACCGCAAAACCATCAATCGTTTTACCTTATTTCTACGACTTTGTGGGTTGGCATCACACAATAATTGTGGTTAAAGTATTTGCCTCTGGGAAAGTGAAGTTGATTTGGTAAAATTTTGAATATTTACGCTTTATTTTGTTGGATTATTTGTAAAATTGAAAGGAATTTTGCAATATATTTTGAGCACGCGCAAGTTGACGGTTGATTTTGGCGTGTGCATACGGGCTACGTGATTCAAGGAACGTTATTACACAGAGTAGAGACATACAGAGACGTAACTAGTGTACCCACTTTTTTTGTGCGCATGCTCGGCAAGTTACTAGATGCATGCATCTGATTGGATGACGACCTGATGACGACTCACTTTAAACTTGCTGAGCACGTGCAGTTGATCATTTTTCGCCTGATCGCCTGAAAAAAAGTGGGTACATGATAACGTAATCTTCCGCAGTGTTTACAACGGTCAGTTACGTCTCTGTATGTATTATCTACTCTGTGGTTATTACGAACTGCGTTTGATTCCAGCGCGTGCGGCAAATTACAAACAACATACGTGAGCAAACGATCATATACGTCATTACACGTGCAATAACGGTCATCTATTAGAACAATCATAAGAACATTTGGTGATTTAATTAGAACATTTTGGGAAATAAGAAGTATAAAAATGCGTAAAACCTGCCAATCCTTTGCCATCTCGGCATCATTTTGGATGGTGTGTCTCGTGATATCTCTCTGGCTGTCAACAAGATCTAAACCTGTGTTCATTTCCATCAACGAGAGAATAACGGCTGATGATTTCTCCGTTTCTCCAGAATTAACATCAATACCTGAACGTTTTTGCAACCTATGGATTTCTACACGAGACAAAATTAGAAGAAAATCATCCTTTCCCCCCAACCACCGCTATGGTCTTCAGTTTAACATCCAAAACAATAATGCCCATCTACTCTTGTGTATTCTTCTTGCTGGTGACATCGCAACCAATCCTGGTCCTGCTCCTCCATCTAAACAACTTCCCATCAAATGTGCCACAATAAACGCCAGAAGTTTGAAAAGCATCCACAAAGATGTCACCACTAATTCGATCATCTGCAATCTTCAAAGATTTCAAGACTTCGTTTACGGAGAAAATTTGGATGTCATATGTGTAAATGAGACATGGCTCAACGAAAACATAAGTAACTCTGAGATCTTAAATTCTGACTATAACATCTTCAGGAAAGACAGAGTTGGACGAAATGGCGGCGGGGTCTTGGTTGCAACCAAATCAAGTTCGTTTAGCTCGGTTAAGGAATTCGTCTCAAACCTGGATGACATAAAAGAATTAGAGATTGTTTCAGCAATAGTGAAAACTGCGTCAAACCAAAATATCCTCTTCTCTTCTTGCTACAGACCACCTGACACTGAACGAACTTGGACAAGCACACTCGACACATTCCTGGATCAAGTTTGCGATCAGTTTAAAAACGTAGTGATATCCGGTGATTTTAATCTACCCAACATCTCGTGGGATACAACATTGAATGCATCTGGTGCGAACGAAGCGAACTTTGTTGACATACTTGATGACCACTATTTCACTCAAGTAAACACCATCCCTACTCGTGCCAACAAAATTCTAGATCTTGTTATCACAACTGTTCCAGAATCAGTCACTGTGTCTGAAGTACTTCCCCCAGAGACAACTGAAATAATAACGGATCACTCAACAGTCCTTTACGAGTTTTCTGAGAATATTAAAGCAAAACCAAAAGCTGGGAGGTATGTCTATAACTACAACGCTGGTGACTTTGAAGGACTGCGACGTGCATTGAACGCAATCAATCTGACGTCTCTCGTTGAACATGCCATAGATAT